AATAATAATAATAATAATATATTCGGACGATATATATTTGATAGTAAAGATGGGGCAAACCACACCATAGCATCAGAAATGGAAATACTATGATAACTATACTTTCAAACAGAAAAACAAAATAAACTTGAGAGATAACACGGCAAAATTACAGAAAAACAAAATAAACTTGAGAGATAACACGGCAAAATTAGGAGACATTAAGCCAGTAAAAATGTTCTTTGAGAATGAGACAGGACAGATAAGGAGAGGCAGCATTTTACGCTAAGTTTAGTTTTTAGTAAGAATGGTACTGCCCTCTCAAAACAATTAGGTCATATAAGTGTCGAAGATGAAAGGTGTTATTATAGAACAAAGAAAAGGAGGAAAGATAAGGATGATAGATGGACATCATCTCCACTTTGCTTTAAGATGACAGCCTTACCTGAAGAGAATCCATGAAACATTTCATCATGTAATAATCAGTTTCTCTATACCCACCCAATTTAGCTGGGTGTTCACAGGGAATGGAATACTGTTCTGCAAAAGAAAAAACAACCCATATTATAACATTTTTATCAACAGGCCTTGACACTTGTTGACATTTTACACAGGCTTGCAACAAAATAAGGTCGAATAAGTGCCGAAGATTAGCGGTATTACAAGAGAACAACAAACAAAAAAGAAGGATGGGAGATAAGGACGATAGATGTTTCATAGGAGAGAAGGAGCAAAGCACACCAGAACACCCGCCAACCACCCACAGATCACTTAGGGCACGGGTTCCGACCCTTCCTGTCACAACCGACGACGTTTGAGAGAGAAACAGCGTTTGCATATAATAATCTTACTACTAATGGAGCTAAGGCCAAATTTTGCGAACAGTATATTCTCAGAAACTAAGAATGAAAAAATATGAAACTTTGACAGTACCTATAACTTGAAACGTAGTGTTGCACTATTGTATTTTCATTGAGATAAAAAATGTAAGAAGAAAGCCCATATAAAGTTAAATTCAGTTCTTTTGTAGCGATCGCCATCATTTGCGTCGACATTGTATATTCACTGCGGAGTGCCGACTGCGCCGAAGTATTTTGTCTTCAGTTATACATTAAGTAGGTTTACGGGAATTCTCGGTTTCGGTCTCATGCCTTTGACCGTCTTCTCACAGCGGGTTTGGAGCGCTCATAGAAGAAGGAGGAGGGGGAGGAGGAGGAGAAGATGTAGGTGTAGATTAAGAAGAAGACGAAGAAGAAGACGAAGAAGAAGACGAAGAAGAAGATGAAGAAGAAGAAGAAGAAGAAGAAGAAGAAGAAGAAGAAGAAGAAGAAGAAGAAAAAGAAGAAGAAGAAGAAGAAAAAGAAGAAGAAAAAGAAGGAGGAGGAGCAGGATGAATTAGAGGAGGGGGAGGGGGAGAATAAGAAGAAAAAGGAGGAGAAGAATCAAGTAGTAATACGTGTTACAAAGTTGGTACTTTTTGTTTGTTACCCTACCTTGGGAGAGAGGGAGAGAGAGAGAGATGGGGAAAGAGAGAGAGAGAGAGAGAGAGAGAGAGAGAGAGAGAGAGAGAGAAAGAGAGAGAGAAGGAGAGGAAGAGATAGAGGATGCCAGAAAGCACTGCAGAGGGAGGGTGGTGAGAGTGACAGGGAGGGTGTCGTCGAAAACGCCAAAAGTAGCCTACCGTGGGCCTACTTAATGTATTCATGGGTCAAAGTCAAAGGTTCAGCCAATCGTAGCCCGGTTTACCCCCTGCGTGTAGTTGCATGTGTCTAATATCTAGATCTAGATCAAGATAAACAATCATGAAAGTATTGAAAGTAGATTTCTCCTGCAGTGGATTTAGCGCGCACGCCGAAGGGTGAGTGTATTTTGTGCACAGTGTCTAGATCTAGATGAGATCAAGAATCTAGATCTAGATACCGGACCTGTTATATATGGTTTCCACTGTACTTGTCAATGAGCTAGAATTTTTTTTTAACGCTGTCAGAGGAAAGTGAACAAGCTACAGACACTGTCTCTGTGATTTTGAAGACGTCGGTGTATTCCTTTTTACAGTGTTGCAGCCCTTTCGTGGATTATTATTGTCTTAGTGCTTTTTGTGATGGTGTAAGGCGAAACCCGTATTTTGTGATAGTGAAGAGCTAGACAGCAATACACTAAAGCAATGTAGATCATGAGAAGAGTTAATCAAGGCAGACCTAATCTAAAGCAACATAGATCTAGAAGCCAGATGTTACTGTGGAAGACTAGACATCAATGTAGATATAAAATGCCTCCGCGGCGTAGACCAGGAGGAGCAGAGACGCCAAGGCGTCGACCCCGAGCAAAGCCAGGTACTCAGCTAGTATCAAGGAGCTTAGAACGAACTGTAAACTCCTTGGCTAGTATATATATATA